GTGGCTTCCCCTCTAATCAAAACCACAATTTCTACTCCTCTCCAAAACCTGCCTGTTTTTTGTTAACTCTCCAATGTCCTTAGGTAGGTTTTTCTGCTCTACTTTTAAAAATATTTTATCCAGACCCTGTGATTGTTACTTGCAGGAAGATTTGGTGTTTTAAGACCTCTCCCCTCCATACCAGAACCAGAGTCCTGGTATTTCCCATCAGGGCTGTCCTTATAATCTAGTGTCTTGGGTCATCAGTGCAGGGTGCTACCAGAATCTTGGTATGTGAGCATGGCTTGTTGACTGCGGGCTTTGTTCTTCATATGTCAGCACCACTCATCGACTGGACCATTTCACTGGCAACCCACCAGTGTCAGTATTTGGGGGTCTTATTTCTCTTATTCTCCCTTGCCTAGAGGCTGGAAACTTGGCTATAACTCGGAGCTGCTTGTCAGCTAGGAGTGAGAGAGCAGGGGATTTTAACATCTCTATTTCTCTCCACTTTTTATCATCTGCACATCTACTTTTAACTGTGGTTAGTGTCTCCCAGGGTAGAAAGGATTGAAATCCTGGGACCAGCATTTAGCATAATGGCTATGTCGCTGGACTCCCACGTAGTCGACCACGGTTCACGTCCCGGACGCGGTGGCTTAAAACTCACGCCGGGCGCGTGTGTGTGCGTGCCCAAGATCCCAAGAGGAGAATGGAGGAGAAGGGATTGCGTGTGGCCATCCCCCCTGGGGGGTAATTTCTCGCTTTCTATCTCTCTGTCTCTCTCTGTCTTTCTGGTGAGTACACACACCCTATAGCAAAAACCTCTCCAAAAAAAGAAAGGAAAAAAAAAAAGGGAATGAAATCCTTTATTTCACCCTCTTCATTCTCTTTCTGTCAAGCCAACTGTTCATGCCTACACTAAAAGGCTTTTGGCTGCCAGAGAGCTATGGGACCAGAATCCATATCTGAGTGGGCATCTGAGCGGACTGCAGGTACAAGTTTTCAGGCAGTCAGCCCACCTTCGCTAATGTCTTAAGGCCAAAGCAGTTTACTTATATGATGTTTCTGTATTCCAAAGCTAAGAGTGTTTGGGGCCTGGGTAATGCTGGACTGGCAGACTGCCTGAGAATGCTGCATTCTGTAGATTCTGTATACACACACACACACACCCTTTTTCTATCATTTTACTAGAGATTTGGGGTCAAAGAGTTAAAGTTGCCTATTAATGCATAATCTTTAACTGGATTTTCTTACTGTCTTCAGAATTTCTGTAATTTTAGTAAATTATATACAACAGAAGTCTAATTTGCTTTCCAAATATGTCTTATTTTTTATTTACTTAATAGTTATTTGTCCTCATTCACATAAAAAACCCTGTACATGAAATATACCCAAGACATTATGTATATATGTCTGTTTTTTGTGTTTTTTTGGTTTTTGGGGTTTTTTTGCCAGCGTACACATGTGCTTGCTAGAGAGAGAGAGAGAGAGCTCACACCACTGCTCAGGGCAGGGAGGGGGTCATGCCACAATTCTTTCTCCTTCATGTCTTTGTCCTGACGGGATTTGGGGCACACATGCACATGGGCCCAGCATGGTCTTTTTAGGTCGCCAGGCTGGGATTCAAATAGCAGTCAGCCATGTGGGATCTGGCTCCCTATTCACAGTACTTCACTGCTGTGCTGCAGGGTGCAGGGCCAGGTCTAGCCTTTCTGTTCCTTTGCTCAGTACTTTTCTTCCTTTGCTCATAGTCATATAAAAGATGAATTTCAGAATTATTCTTTAAACCTATCTGATCACTTTAGCCCCTAACTCCAAAAAAATAAAATATGTGTGCGTGTAATTACATATACCTTTTGGGGGTTATTGGCTTATTCACAGTAAGTAGGGATTAACATCATTGCAGAACTGAAGAAAAGTTATTCACTACACTTACTCAGGGCTTTCTCATATACTGGTGATCCATTAAATATTTATAAAGTTTCTGCCTTATGCTAGAACCTACTCTTTTAAGTGCTGTGGACATCATGGTAAACAAAATAGCATGGCTCCTAATGTCATGTCAGTCCTGCATATTTCTTATTGAATTTAATCCTAAGTACATTTTTTGGCTGTTATGAATGGGATATATGTATTTTTTAACTCTTAATGTTTTCCTTCTGAGTGTTTATTGGTGGTAGACAAGAAGGTTGTTCACATCTCTTCAGGCCTTCTGAGGTCAATATTTCTTGTACAAACATGTCAAACTCCTCCCCCACCACCTCTCCTCCTACCTCATCCAGTCACAGAGGTTTTCCCAGAGCGCTGCCTGCTTCTCCTTGGTGTTTGACAGTGACTCAGAATTACAGTTCGATGAGCCACATCAGCTCCTAGGGATCTCATTCCAAATACAGTTGTCACAGGGGGTTCATTGCTGTGCTGAAATTTGGTATGGAAAATTTTATGATGTCTGATTTCTTTATTCAGACTTATTAGTTTTCAAGGTTTCTTTATTCTTGAGCCTCTTTGCCTCTCCAGCTGTCAGTCTGGTTTTGTTCCCATTTAATTTCATGCCAGACTCTCATACAGGAATGAGGACATGGCCAGAGGATCTGGCTTGGAAGTGAGGAGGGGTGGGGAAAGATTTTACAGAGCTCAAGTAGTTCCATTTTATTTTAGTTTTCATGTTCTTTGAGGACACTCCCTCTAAACTAAATAAGTGAGAAATGACAGTTACTGTTTCAACCCTCCTATGCTATTGTTATGTCATAGCTGGCAAAACACTGTTATATAATGTTGTGGGAATTTTTTTATAGGTGATGGCCAAGCTGATATGACAACTGTTAATTGATTTCTCTTCCTACTTAAAGCTATGCTGATTCTTAGCCTCACTCTGATCCATGATGAGCATCTAGCTCTTCCTTGATGTCCAGGGGTGTTTTGTCACAGAACATCGAGTCCTCTGTTCTGCAGTAGTCCTTGTTCACCCATGTGATGAAGGGAGTGGGGAGTAGCAATGGTACCTGTTATTTCATCGAATCTCAAGTCTGTCTTCTGACTCCAAAACCTCTGCTGTTGCAACTGCATCACCTACACGGTTGATAGAATTTAATTTCTCTTTTTAAGTCTTTAGGGAAACCTTTCTATCCTACTACAGTGAAAGGTACTATGTGAAAGCCAAAAGTCAAATGAATCGGGGGGCTACTCTCACTAGGTAGGTGACTGAGTGAGATTCTTTTTTTCTCCCTGAGTAAGATAGTTTACTCATACTTTTTTTTTTCCTGTTTTATTTTATTTTGAAGTTTTCTCATGTGTAAAAAGAGGAAGATAATAGAAACTACCTCACAGGACATTGCAAGAATTAAATGTGATGATGCATATCAAGCATGTATCACATTGTTTGGCCCAGAACTGTGAACTTGCTGCTTGAAAAGTTATGGTTGTTACAAATAATGGTAATTGTATTTGTTGAATTCACATCCATCTTTTAGGCTTTGTCTTATGACCCAAAATCTTTTTAGTAATCCTTTATGGCAGTCTTGTTACCATCACCCATTTCATTTTCTACTATAGTTCCCATATTGAGTGTATTATAATTTAATAAGAAAAAATAATACCCATAATTCTAGGTATTATTGTATTGTGGTTTTGTAAAAGATATTATTTTCAGACATGTCTCTGTGCTTCATACATGTCCCTTATAAGTCTAAGTCAGATTTTTTTACATGGCTTTCTTTTTCTTCAAGGAAGTCAGGATTATATTGCCAAATTTCGTTTTCTAAAGCCATTCACATGGAGTCATCTACCTTTAGAGTATCTGTCTTTATTCTCTTGGTTGAAAACCAGTGATTTGGGGGCCAGCTAGTGACATGGTGTTTAAGGTGCTGGATTCCCACATGTCCGACTGTGGTTCAAGTCCTGGACCCAGTGGCTTGAAAATCACAACAAACAGATAAATAAATAAATGTCTAAAAAAATTATTTGTCTTAAGTTTTTTCTAAAACTGATTTCTCAATCTCTGGACTGTGATTACAATTTTTGCTAGGTTTCATAATCTTGGCTATTGTTGGCATGTGTTGGAATGACTTGTCCCTTTTCTTACAAGGTTCCTGTTTTTTCTGCTTTACCTACCAATTCTAGCTCGTTGGTCCAAGTTGGGCCCAGAGTTACATTCCTTTATAAATAAGGGATAAATAAGAAAATAAGCAGCTGTTCAGGTTGCTGTTATATCTTAATTCTTTGTTAATGACATAACCTCCTGAAGATTCCTTCTGTGTTTTCTCCCAAGATGGCAGTAGTAGCATATCCCTGTAGCAGTTTCATTTCTTACTCCCTTTCTCAAATCCTTACTTCCAGACTTCCCATTTTGTCTCTTAACTTCCCACATGGATAATTTGCTTTCTTCATGATACTCAGATTTGCTTGCCCTTTTTGTTTTTCTCTAAATAGCCCCCCCCCCCCCCCCCCCCCCCCACACACTCACACCTCAAAACCATTTAGTATGATTTTTCCTTACAAACTTGGGCATATACTGCCCAGAAGACCTTGATTTTAGCTGTAAATATGGAGATTTTTCTGTGTCCTACCAGGAGTAGAAGAGTTGCCTGGTAGTATAATTTACCATTTTCACTTTATCCTAAAGCAGTTAGAGATTGATGTGAACTCTGAATCCTTGTTAGGTGCGTTACTGGAAGTTGGTAGCTTAAGCTTTTATTTGCTTTTCCTGGTCTTATGATTAGATTCAGTGAAAGTATAAACTGTGAAATATTTGAGAATAAGTTGCTTGGGCAGTGGGGACCAATTTTTCTAGTCATCTTTAGTTTGCAGCTGATTTGTTTATTGGGGGTGGGGGCCTTTTAGAATGCAGTTTTGAATGTCTGCATATGTAGGGGATGGGATTCCTTTTGATTGCCCTCATTCGGTCCAAGTTTAGAAGTGAGGGGTTTATGGCCATGGGTCAACAGCTTCCTGCATTGTTTGGTGTTGTCCATTGAAGTCATGATTAACACCTGGGCTTTCGTTCGTTTGGGTCCCCTCAGATACACCTATGAGCGAATTGATGGGCGAGTACGGGGAAACCTGCGCCAGGCAGCCATCGACCGGTTCTGTAAGCCAGACTCAGACCGCTTTGTCTTTCTTCTGTGCACCAGAGCGGGAGGCCTGGGGATCAATCTCACAGCTGCTGATACCTGCATCATATTTGATTCTGACTGGAACCCACAAAATGACTTGCAGGTAACCATTAGGATGATTGCTGTTTATCTTAGCTGCCCCTGAATCCTAGCATGACATGACAGGGCCTGGCTTGTTGTAGAGTGTCTGCCGTGCTCCGTGCTATGGTGTCAGCAGGATGACAGGCTTAGGGCCTTGGTCAGGGGATGAAACTGAATGCAAAGTAAATGCTTATGCTTCCTACTACTGAGAGTGGTTCTTTCCTTTTGCTTTAAATCAAATGTTGTTCCATGGTGGTGGCCTCTGTATATAGACTGGAGCTACTATTTGTTATCAAACATAAAGATACTGAACTTGACCAGTTCTCTAATTCTGGGTATATAGATTGATTCTAGCATTTTTGCTCAGTTTGTTTGTTAGATGGTTATGTGTCGCGTATAGTAAACCAGTTAACCCAAGGAAGTGGGAGAGTTCTATGATATGACAGTAGTGACAGAGACACTTGCATGAGTTCATTTGCTCTCCCTTTAATACATATGTGCTCAGCTAAGTGGCTTTGGAGATTCTATTTAATCTAACTAAATAACAGGTGGCTTTAAAAAATTATCACTAAGAGGCAAGCATAAACAAGCAGAAAGAAAACATCAGAACCTTATTTGTAGTTTATCATTGGCTCTATTTCAAAGTTTAAGTAGTGCCATTCTAACCAGATTAGACAAGTCAGCTGAAAAGAGTCTAGCTTATCAAGAGGACTATTTAGAATACAGTTTCCTAAAGCTTTAAGGGATATAGATATTATCTATTATCATCCATGATGAGGATTATCCTGAGTGAATATTATGTCTTAGGATATTTTCTAATATTAAGATTACGACTAAGTGATAAAGAGGGTGAGTGAGTGGTTCAAAACCTTTTCCATAGTACAGGTGGTTGATCAAAAGAGGTTTGTAGGCCACTGTTCTACAGAACTCAAGAGGGTACCCCAGGGGATACTGCAAGAGAGGGACTGCAGGAAAGAGGGAGCTAAACTAAGGGCAATCTGGGCTTCTTTCTATCTAACTGCTTCCACAGTCATTCTACTTTGTCTTCATCATTTAGTGAGTTTCCAAATAAACTTTTGTTTGAAGAAAACAGTTTACTAGTCGAAAACCAGTGCCTTAAGTTATTAAATTGGTGATTGCTGGCTAAAACTCCAGAAAAATATCTTAGTAAAGCACTATAAAGTAAATTGTGTGGCACACATTTAGTGTCCAACTTCAAACAAAACCAGTGGTTATGAGTAGCTCACCGTTAGTTCTTTCTGTTGGTGGAGGGATGTTTGGGCAAAGGCTGAATTGCTAGATATAACAAATAACCAATTTTTAGAGGGGTAATCCTCAGTACTAAAATAATAATAAGTAAAAATTAATATTTGATCCACTCACTATCAGGAACCTAATTAGGATAATAATATAGATTAAGGGGTAGATAACATTTCCTTTTGTCCTGCTCCCTTTTTAAAAAACAGGTTTATTGGATACAGCAACACCCCTTTGTGTGTGTGTGTGTGTGTGTGTGTGTGTGTGTGTATGTTCTATGGTTGCATTCATACTACAGTGGTGGAGTTGAGTAGTTGCAACAGAGACCTCATAGCCCATAAGACCTAAAATATTTACTTACCAGGCCCTTTATAGTTGGCTACCAACACCAAAATAGATGATTTCTTAAGTCCTTGACAGCCTTGAAATTCTGTTTTCCATCATGGTGCTCACCTGAAAAATGATGGTATAAGAAACCAAGTGAAGTGGCCATTTGGAGACTGTGTTAGTTGCACATGTCTGAAGGGATATCTAGAGGGAAATTGAAGCATGGGCTACAGTTAGGAAATGGGTCATGACCAGAGGCAAAGAATTTGGGACTACCTTGCTTCACTTAGGTGCAGTCTAAACTTTAGAACTTCACAATGCCAAGAAATTGACAAGGCAAGAATGAGAGTATTCAAGCCCGATGGAGAAAATGAAGTCTTCTGAAGTGATTGACTTGTATGTGTAGCAACCAGAGGAGTTTGCTAGGGTTGTCACAAGTAAGGTCTGGGGATAAGGAAGAAGCTTTGGAATAGCTGTTTTTAATGTCCAGTGCTGGGGAACTATCAGGAGATGAATTAAGGAATAGTAGTGAAGTCCAAACAGAAATGGGATAGTGTGTTTTTTATCCTTTAGTTTACTGAGTCCATTTCTGAACTTTTAATGTTCAACCTGGATGAAGAAACAAAGAATACCAGTGCTACAGATGATCCTCGTGGGAGCTTTTATCGAGAATATAGCAAACGGTTAAGGAATGAGGGGGAATCAGTGATCAAGGCATCTCCAGATCAGAAACAGAGTTAGAATTCATCTAGACTGGCTATTGCTGCTCTGTTCTTGATCCACTGATTTCTAATTTTGGGGTTATTATTAAAGTTTCATAACTCAGAATTATTCTTTATTTTAAAATAAAAATCTGACCAGACTGGATAAAAATAAAAGAATTTGGAAAAAGAGAGAAATTTTAAGGCAGAACAAGGTCTGTGGTTATTGGAGAACAGGATTAGTGGCTATAAAAAAGAGCTGGTAGGAGCAGCAGGTGGTGTAGTTGTTAAGGTGCTGGACTCCCACATGGCCAACCATGGTTTGGGTCCTGGACCTGGCAGCTTGAAGATTGTGCTAGGCATATGTGTATGGATGCCCAAAATCTCAGGAGGAGAAGGGATTTGAGTGTGGCCATCTTCCTGGGGGGTGATTTCTCACTTTCTCTCCCACTGCCTCTTTGTGTCTCTCTTTGGTGAGCACGTGTGCCCTTTGGAAAACACCTTTAAAGAAAAAAAGCTGGTAGAGAGGAGAGGATGGCTAAATTCTAAGTCTCCTATAGAAATGGGGCAAGGTTCTCGCTTGGTATGATAGAGCAGAGAGCAAGAGGGCACCTCTATAAGCAAGATGCTAGTCTGACTGCAGACCGGGGATACTCAGCACACATACAACACATACTCACACTGCCCCCACTCCCTCAGCATTTTCCTTGCACCCAGGTGCTGTAAATATAAAGTAGAAAAGAGTCTGGAAATGGCTCTGCAACCATCATGTGATTCACATGTCTACAGCTTAATCAACTGTGATTATCGGTACTAAAAAAAGAAAACTTAACCAGACCCTTTCCCAGTTCTATTCTTGCTAGGTAGTCTGTGTTAACTTTATAGTCATTCACACACATGCACACATTTGAGTATCTTTTCTAAATGAATGAAAGCTTTTGGTCATCTGCAGTTCTCTATTGCCTTTGGATGATGGGTTTGACCCTAGAACGTTTATTTAGAATGGGTTGAGGTGTATATTGCATGATAAAACATCAAGGCCACAGAAGAGAAAATCTCATTGTGAGTAGGGTCTTGCCCCTCCTCTCATGGAATCTTGAAGTAGCTCCAGAGACCCAAAGTCAGATGATAGCAATGCAAGTGCTCGCTGTGGTTTCTTTCAGCATTGCACTCAGAACTATAGGGAAGGTGTAAGTGCCTTGACTGCTTGTGCTTCAGGACTGACCCTGGGTGGGTCCTCTTGAAGCCTAGAAAGGGAAGCCAGCCTGACTCCGGGGAGGTCTGCAGACAAACCAGTTTCCACAGCTGGACAACAAAGTTCTGTGCTCTGAAGAATCATCTGGGAGTTATAAAAACTTTACTTTTTCTGGTACATTTTCACGTTAAAGTCCATCAGCCTTCCTTTCTGATCATTTTCCTGGGTTTTCTGTGTTTTGTGGATAGAATTTGAGGTCTGCTAGGAATGTTTTTTAAACCTTGGGTTTTATAAAATACTATATATTCTTTCTTTTGTCTCGTTAGAGGCTAAAGAGTCCAGTAAATCATAACCTTCTCCCATGTCTAGATCTGAATCAATTAAGAAATAGAGAAGCTCAGTGGAGGTTCAAAGCATCAGCTTCAGTAAGTTATGAAGGCATATAGATGGTACGGCTCAACCAGAATTAACCTTCCTAGGACTCCTGAATGTACATAGCCTCATCCTTACATTAAACTTACCTACGCAGAACTGCCTGCAGCTATCTGCAGAGCACAAGCTGCCCTAGTAAGCCTGCCGAAGAGAAGGCTCCTGCATTGCTCAAGTGACAAGGGAGAGGAAACCAAATCTACACAATCTCAGACCCTGTCCCATATTTCATTGGTCAGATCATTTACTCCTTTAGGATAAAGAGAGGAAGCAGGGTTAATTAGATTCTGTTTTGTTCTTACCTGGGAGAAGACATTCCTTCTTGAAAACAGGATAGGGAAATGGGACTTCCACTCTAATATCTACTCTGTCAGCCTAGTTTCACTTTCCTCCCTCCAAATCTCCCTCCCTTTTTCCAGAACAGGGGAAGCATGAGCCTAGTTTCTCTTTCCTCCCTCCAAATCTCCCTCCCTTTTTCCAGAACAGGGGAAGCATGTGCTTATTAGAATCCAGGGTAGGAACCTGAGTAGACATGACTTAAACATAACAAAAGAGATTCAAGTTAATATGAAGGATCTCAACAATGTTGTATCTTACTTGGACTACCAGTTTTTAGGTCTCTGTAACAGGGAGACATTACCTAGCGATATCAGGTAAATGCCCCATCCTTACTCAAGCTTTGACTATGTCGGTGTTTGCAATCACTGTGTGTAAAAAAATTCAAGGATGTAAATTTACCTTTTATAACCTTCACTTAGAAGATATAAGCTGTGATTTAGTCCTGGTTGCTCTAGCAGCAGCAGATGTGGCAAAGGTGGTGACATTAGCTTGTGAAGGAAAAAGAAAAATGAAAACCTGCTTTCTTTTCTTCTTTTCCTTATTATAAGGAGGAAGCCAGTATTGTTGCTAGCTCTGCAAGTGGCTATGGGCCTTTTGGGAATAGCACTGTAGCTGCCTTCGCCCCCACCCAGAGACCACAGACCCCTTCCTATTTGTTGTTCATGATACTCTCTGCCTCTTGTTCTCTGGGGTGCTTTGGACCTTGAGGCAAGAGTTCCTTAGGATTAGACAAGATTCATTATAACAGTGGTGGGCTGTATAGTTCCATGTCAT